AATCACTTATACTGATGCTAGGGTCAGGTGCCAGCCTTTTCATGGCTATCAAATGAGCTGTCAAATGATTTGAACCAAGACTGGAAAACAAGTAAACCCTAACAAGTACAACAAGCTCAACCCACAAAGTAATCCTACCAAGTACAGCAGGCTCATCTTACAAAGTAATCCTACCAAGTACAGCAGGCTCATCACACAAAGTAGTCCTACCTGGCCCACGCACTTAAAAAATAGTCCTACCCCATGGATTTCGCACATGTCTAAAAGTAATCCTACAACATTGCACAAGAACTCTGAGTTATCACAATTCTCTTACCCAACTTTCCAAAAAAAAAATCATCATATTAACAAGCTTTCCACAAAACACAAAAATATTGTTTTTCATTTGAAACATGATACCAAAAAAGGTATAAAAATAAAATTGTCACTAAAAATGCAATTTAGAAATAGTTAGAAAAAGAGATAAAAATAGAATTGCCACCAAAATTGTCTCAAAATAGTTAAACAAAATTTGACTATTTTTGCTTTTATAGAATTAACTATTAGTTAAATATTTGTCTGCAGACAACAGAGTTAACTATTAGTTAGGAAATTGTCTTGCCCGATCTATAGGGTAGGTCTCTCGGCACGAGCAGTGTGGTGAGTGTGGACGTCACCTGCAACGCCAGGGGACTCCAGTGGCTGCCAAACAAAACGGGAATCATGTAGTCCGTGTTGTCCGGTGAGACTTCATGGTCGTGCAAGCATTGCAGTGCCCATGTGGCTTTATAATGCCTGATCAGGGTCCTCAACACAATCTAGCACAATGGGGGCATCTACCCGGTGACCCTGGTCGCGGATCATGTTGGCATAGAAGCTCATTTCATCTGTAGCTACGAGGGGTCCCTGTGCTATAAGGCCCTGGAGCCTTATGTCTTGCCTTGCGATGTCATCCAAAGGGACTGTTCTGCATGGACTTGAGTACATGATGGAACTGTGTGTGTGGCTCCGTTGTCAATGATGTACCATGTGGCAGGTGTCAGGAGACTGTTCAACGACATCGGAATCCCTGCCAAGGTCTTACAGTAACTACGATGGGCTGTTCAAAGGTGGTCAAACCCGCCTCAGCTTGGGTCAACTGGCCGCCAGTGGCACCTGGGCGGACACTGAGCTGGACAGGAACGCCCGCCGGGTCACACACTACGACATGGAAATCACTAGGTGGTAGCAGCTGGCGGCTCCAGGATATCTGATCACGCAAATCACCTGCGGCGTGAATGGACCCCTGCATGGTGTCTTGGGGGAACTGGAGGGACTCGTGTTGACTGTGGTGGGCGCCGTGGAGATCTTGGTCTGTCCGGGACCCGCCTGGAATCACACCCGAGATGGTCCCTCCCTTTCCCTTGCCCCGTGCTGATGGCACTTCGGTTGCACCTCTGACAGCTTCTGATTCCTCGATCACCTGTGCGGCGTGGCCGAGCATTGGCGCAGGGTGTGTGTGGTCTGCGAGCGACGACTGTGCCAGCAATGACTTATTGGCAAAAAACTCGAGGCCTCCTGTCGGCGATATGCCCTGATCTGATGTTGGGGGCGGCAGAGCTTTTCTTTTGCAGGACCCTCTGGAGCCTACCTCGTTTGGCAAATCGGCTGGTGCATCAAGTCGTGGGCTAGTCAAGCTTGAGACCTCATAGGGGAGATTAAACTTGGCAAATATATGGCGGCTTGGAACAGTGCAGACTCTTTGGAGTGCGCAAACGGCCGCAACATGTCGCCCCGAGCAGTGAAGGTGGCTTGAGCCAGGTTCAACAGGCCCTGTTCGGCCAGTGGCTTTGGGAACACCATGCCAAAAACTTTCCCCAAGGCTTCAGCTTCCTGAGCAACATGCCAAGGGGCCTGTGCTGGTGAGGCCATCTGACCTAATGCGGTGAGGTCAAGTCGAGGTGGTCTGTCGGGACCATGTGCAGGATGGCCACTTCATCTGGATGGATGTGCCTCGTGTTGGGGATTTCTGCACCTCGGACTGATACTGGGATCAAGGCACCGTAGAGTCCTTTGTCGGCTAGGCGTTGTGGCGAAAAACCTCCAGACCTACAACCACATGCACAGGCCATGAGCTGTGAACCCCAGGCATGGAGAGCGGTCGAAAGGGGTTGTCTCGGATTCGCTGAGTTCTTTCCCAATCCCCAGGTTGGTCCGCAAAAACTTCCAGTTCATGTGGGGACAACTGCAGCTCTTGGATTTGATGGTCGGGCCACGCAGCAATGTTTGGGAGTAGGTGCCTAAACGACGGTGCGAACGGCAGGCTCGGAAACTTTTCCAACATGGGCATCTGAACCAGCGGATGACTCACAACTGCCCACCATCTTGTCCTCTTGGCCGGCCAAAAATCTTGCAAGTGGCATATCTGTTGTTGCAGCTTGTAACCAGAACTCTGACAGAATGCATGGAGTGTGTTCTGTACCCAAGGAGAGGTCATGGCTTCTTTCGTGCATTCCAAGACCAATGCCGTGGGCTGGAACAAGTAGCCCAATTTGATCATCCCTTCAAAGCTCTTGGCACGTGGGTCCAGCTGCTGTCTGCGGTCTCCCAATTGGGAGAATGGCTGGCATGCAAAGCCTCCTGTACAGATGCAGGGACTCGTCGTGAATGGCACTAATGCCAGGTGAACTTCAGTGCTATCTATGTCCCCTTCGATGACCGGGATGTTCTTGCTCTTGAGCCATTTGGCATACGTGTGGTTGAGCTCAACGTGGCACCTGATGTGACAACCGATCCACTTATAACCTGCTGTCATGACGGCATACCCTGCGCAAACGTCGATCACATCGGTGGCATTGGCACTATCGAAAAGGCCAGGGCATCTGAGGGTGGCTTGTTGGGCATCTACCAGGATGTAGCTGTCTTGGGCGTGCTTCACTCCTGCGATCACCGTGAATCGCTCTCCTTGCAGAGCCACGCCCTTCAAGAAAAAGTGTTGTCCAAGCAACCAGGTCGTGCAGCTATAGGCAGCTTTCCCAGGGTCGAAGAACCACGCATGGCCGGTCAGGGAACTGACTCCCCTTCGGCCGCCAGATGCAACCATGGCCCCGGGCAGTAGGATCCCTCCCAAGTCATTGGCCTCCGTCACTGCACCAGCTGACAGGTACTTGGGCCGACACTTAGCGATGGCCTCCAACCTACTAGCACAGGCCTCCAAACGAAGAGCGAGGGCCTCCAACCTAAGAGCGATGGCCTCCAACCACAGCAATGGCCTCCAACCTAAGAACAAGGGCCTCCAACCTAGAGCGATGGCCACCAACCTAATAGCCATGGCCTCCAACCGAATAGCGATGGCCTCCAACCTACTAGCCTCAATCTCAACTCTAACTTTGTGTGGTGTCTGGTTCGGGCAAAGATTGGCTCAGAAAACCAAACGCTGGGGCCGAGGATGCAACGATCAAGCCAGCAGAACTCCAAGTGCCACAATTGACCCGTCTGTGTAAACAAAATGCAATTGAAGAAATGAGCGACGCCAGAAGATTGCAAGAAATGCATGAGGTTCGGTTGAGCATAGGAACTCAAAGGCAACACTCACCGAGGAATTGGGGCAAAACGAAATGTTCTTGCAGGGTGAAACTCAAAAAAGTGCATTGTCTTGATAATTTCTATTGACATCCTAGAGGGTATGCGTTCATGACAAAATGTTGAACCTGCTCACAATCTTAGTTCGCAACCGCAAAGTTGATCATGAAGACCAAGGATTGCGCAGCAGCCCCAAATGGAGGGAAGTCGTTGGACACTAGGGTTGACAGCATCAAGGCAAACTGTCGGAAGAAGGTACCTCAAACACAACACATTGGCTTGTGATCGCACGCAGAAAAAGGTCCACCATCTCATCTGCGGCTGTTTGCATGACATGGCACTAAAGATCAGAACCCAGCCGTAGGTGACGTAGCTACCATCCAGCCTATCTGGCCAATCTTGCTTCTCTGAGAAGCGCTCTTTGTTCTTCCACTTCATCTTGATCTCGCGCAAGTTGATCTCATCCTAACAACTGCTCATGAGTCATCATGAGTCCATACTACGATCACCAAACATGGCAAATCACAGCAACCCACCTTGCCCTTTCTTGATGCAGTTTGCAACAGCCAAGTACGACCGGGTCCTCAAGTGTTGCCTTGCGCTTCCGCATGTTGGCGAGCTCCTTGTCAAGCTCCCTCCCAGCCTTTGTCTCTGGGATCACAGCAGCACCACGCTGCTTCATTTTTGCCTTCAAGACTCATGGACTGGTGAACTTGTGGTACAAAAGAAGCTTGCACCAGTACTGCCAGTATGTATCATGCAACTTCGCACTCATGCGATTTCATGCGCCTCAAAGAGTGCACGCTTTGCTGCCGCTTCCTGGTCCCGGATGGAAGGATATGTCCGTACCGCCACGATGTTGCCTTGGCTCACCGGATCAATTGATTGAATTCGTAGTGCAAGGAAATTGCTCAGTCATCAATGTCGGCAGGCTTCACATGCTGATCAAACAGGCGGCTCAGCACTCGCAAACGCACGACTTCCACCCATCCCCTGCACCATCAAGTGAAACAATGTGAAAAGCAGCACGGCGAAGAATATGGTGTTCAAGCTTGTTCGGATTCTTTCGGTCATCAGGCCTCATGTTCTCGACACTCATCTCAACAGCAGCTACGTAAATGGGAATGCGGTCTCCTGGGCATGACACAGGAAAGTGGTTGAATGACTGCAGATTCAAAGAGTACCGGTTTGGTTGCGATAATTTTTTGATTTATTTTGCGAATTCAGGCTAGTGGCTTGTCTTGGTCCCTGCTTGCCAATGATAGCTCCAGTAAAGACAAACGTTCAGGGTTGCAAAGCCAAAGGCAAAAATAAACCAGAAAAAGCATGCGACTGTGAAGATCAAGAAGTACTGGTCGTCTGCCAGGTCACCTTAACCCATGTCATTTCACATGCGGGATGGGAGTAAGGCTTTGTGCATTCTCGGTATTCCTAGATTCTCCCCCAGCGCTGATAAAAGCACCCAATGATTATATTATGTAACTGATATTGGTGGTTTATCTCGATTCTACTGATTCACTTGGAGGCCACAATGTCTGTTCTTAGTTACCGGAGGCCCAGCTTCCAAACCAGGGAGGGAGCCACAGGACATCAAGTCAATCCAGTCGATGTCCTACAGTTGGATGGAAAACCTGTATGCGGCATACAACGTTTCCGAAGCATTTGCAGATTGAGAACACTATCGTGGATATCGTGCATCAGCTTCTGTTATATAAAGTTCTGCGGAACTGCATCCTCGAACTCCTGCCCTACAATGAACCTGCCCCTTAGAAACAAGATGGAACCCACGAACCCGAATGCAAACACGCACGTTCGAAAAACTAATATGTCCAAATGACACTCTTGTAGGACACTCTTGTGGGACACTCTTCTGGGACACTCTTGTAGGACACTCTTGTAGGACACTCTTGTAGGACACTCTTGTAAGAAACTCTTGTGGGACACTCTTGTAGGACACTCTTGTGGGACACTCTTGTAGGACACTCTTGTGGGACACTCTTGTGGGACACTCTTGTGGGAAACTCTTGTAGGACACTCTTGTGGGATACTCCTGTAGGACACTCTTAAGGGACACTCTTGTGAGACACTCTAGTGGGATACTGTTGTGGGAGAGTCTTGTAGGACACTCTTGTGGGACACTCTTGTAGGACACTCTTGTGGGACACTCCTCTGGGACACTCTTGTAGGACACTCTTGTGGGACACTCTTGTGGGTCACTCTTGCAGGAAACTCTTGTGGGACACTCTTGTAGGACACTCTTGTGGGACACTCTGTGGGGCACTCTTGTGGGACACTCTTGTAGGACACTCTTGTGGGTCACTTGCAGGACACTCTTGTGGGACATTCTTGTAGGAAACTCTTGTGGGACACTCTTCTAGGACACTCTTGTGGGACACTCTTGTGGGACACTCTTGTAGGACACTCTTGTGGGATACTCTTGTCGGACACTCTTAAGGGACACTCTTGTGAGACACTCTTGTGGGTCACTCTTGTAGGAAACTCTTGTGGGACACTCTTGTAGGACACTCTTGTGGGACACTCTTATAGGACACTCTTGTGGAACACTCTTGTGGGACACTCTTGTGAGACACTCTTGTGGGACACTCTTGTGGGTCACTTGCAGGACACTCTTGTGGGACACTCTTGTAGGAAACTCTTGTGGGGCACTCTTGTGGGACACTCTTGTGGGACACTCTTGTGGGACACTCTTGTAGGACACTCTTGTGGGATGGATACTCTTGTCGGACACTCTTAAGACTCTTGTGAGACACTCTAGTGGGACACTGTTGCGGGACACTGTAGGACACTCTTGTGGGACACTCTTAACACTCTTGTGGGACACTCTTGTAGGACACTCTTGTGGGTCACTCTTGTAGGAAACTCTTGTGGGACACTCTTGTGGGACACTCTGTGGGACACTTTTGTGGGACACTCTTGTGGGACACTCTTGTGGGATACTCCTGTAGGACACTTTTAAGGGACACTCTTGTGAGACACTCTAGTGGGACACTGTTGCGGGACACTCTTGCGCAACTCTCTTCCAGCTCCCCAGATACTCCGCGTACTAAAGTTGTACTACAAGGTCGCCAGTTCTCAGCTTCCAGCTCCCCAGATACTCCGCGTACTACAGTTGTACTACAAGGTCGCCAGTTCTCAGCTTCCAGCTCCACAGATTGCTCCGCGTACTAGAGTTGTACTACCAAGTCACCAGTTCTCATCTTCCAGCTCGCCAGATACCCCGCGTACTAAAGTTGTACTACAAAGTCGCCAGTGCTCGCCTGCATTTCGCGCGCTCGACGCGCGCGATCTCCGCAGAGGGTTGCGCGGGCACCGGACAAATCGCACTCTCGCCTGCATTTCGCGCACTCGACGCGCACGGTCTCCGCAGAGGGTTGCGCGCGCATGGGACAAATCGCACTCTCGCCTGCATTTCGCACACTCGACACGCGCGATCTCCGCAGAGGGTTGCGCGTCAAGTCTCCAAAACGAGCGTTTCGTACGAGACTTCCTCAAAAACTCACACGTCAAAGTCTGCAAAACGAGCGTTTCGTACGAGACTTCCTCCAAAAGTCAAGCGGAAACACCCGTCAAAGCACACACATCACGCAGCCCTGCCAAGCAGTTTCGCGATTCCAGCCCCTCCAAACAACATCCGCTCACACGCCAATCCCAATCTGACAGCGACATTCACCTCTACCACAACTCACAACCTCACGATTCCCTGCGCCTGCCACAAATCTTTGTGGCATCCACACGTTTGACGCGCACAAAGTACTGCGCCTGCCACGAAATGTCACCTCCCTCACACCTCGCAGCCTCACGATTCCCTGCGCCTGCCACGACAATCGCACTTCCACCCTTCAAAACCCGCACGAAGTCCTGCGCCTGCCACGAAAAGTGACAATATCATCGCATGTGAGCTTCAACAAAATTTGCACCACACCACACGTTTGGAATGATTTCGACCCGTTCAGAGCACACTCCCATCCTCCAAAATCGCCATTTCAGCTGAGACTTGTCACGAAAACAGAGCTTCGATGCCACACCCTGAAACGCAAATCCCAATGGCGCGGCCACATCCAACACCCCAAAAACACGACTCTCCAAACGCTAATCCCAATGGCACTGCGCAGCAAACTGCGGATCTCACAAAACGCTGCGCCTGTGCAGCGAAATGCATCACGTTTCTTGCGCGACATGTCGGTGTCATGCAAATCACAATGGAATAGCGGCGCAAACTGACACGTGACACATCCATGCAAAGTCACTTGCAAAAGCTTCCCCCAATGGCAGCAAATTTGAGACGCGACGACGACACGACGCAAGTCATGCAAACACAGGTCCAACCCCCAGACCCCCAACTATAAACGGGAACCCTTCGCTACGCATTCGGGAACAAAACAAGATGGAGCCCACGAACCCGAATGCAAACACGTTCGAAAAGCTACATATGTCCAAATGACACTCTTGTAGGACACTCTTGTGGGACACTCTTGTGGGACACTCTTATAGGACACTCTTGTGGGACACTCTTGTAGGACACTCTTGTGGGTCACTCTTGTAGGAAGCTCTTGCGGGGCACTGTTTTGGAACACTCTTGTAAGACACTCTTGCGGGACACTCTTGTAGGACACTCTTGTGGGACACTCTTGTAGGACACTCTTGTGAGACACTCTTGAGGGGCACTCTCGTAGGACACTCTTGTGGGACACTCTTATAGGACACTCTTGTGGGTCACTCTTGTAGGACACTCTTGTGGGACACTTTTTTGTCGGGCACTCTTGTGGGTCACTCTTACACGACACTCTTGTAGGACACTCTTGTGGGACACTCTTACAGGACACTCTTGTGGGTCACTCTTATGGGACACTCTTGTCGGACATTCTTGTGGGACACTCTTGCGGGACACTCTTGTCGGACACTCTTGTAGGACACTCTTGTAGGACACTCTTGCGGGACACTCTTGTGGAACACTCTTGTGTCACTCTTGTAGAAAACTCCTGTGGGACACTCTTGTAGGACACTCTTGTGGGACACTCTTATAGGACACTCTTGTCGGACACTCTTAAGGGACACTCTTTTTTTTGAGACACTCTTGTCGGACACTGTTGCGCGAAGCTCTTGTGGGACACTCATACGGGACACTCTTGTGTGACAGACTTGTGGGACACTCTGTCTGGGACACTCTTATAGGACACTCTTGTGGGACACTCTTATGGGACACTCTTGTAGGACACTCTTGTGGGACACTCTGGTAGGACACTCTTGGGGGTCACTCTTGTAGGAAGCTCTTGCGGGGCACTGGACACTCGCGCTCCCCAGTGGCATGGCGCCACGCAAACACTATTCCCATCAAGGCCAAATCCCAATGGCACTGCGACACCACGAACGTAATTTCGCCACACGGCCTGCCGTACACCAAAAGATGGGACACTCTTGCGGGACACTCTTGTAGGACACTCTTGTGGGACACTCTTATAGGACACTCTTGTCGGACACTCTTAAGGGACACTCTTGTGAGACACTCTTGTCGGACACCGTTGCGCGAAACTCTTGTGGGACACTCTTGTGGGACACTCTTGTAGGACACTCTCGTGGGACACTCTTGTAGAACACTCTTGTGGGACACTCTTGCAGGAGACTCTTGCAGGACACTCTTGTAGGACACTCTTGTGGGACACTCTTGCGGGACTCTTGTGGCACACTCTTGTAGGAAACTCTTGTGGGACACTCTTATGGGACACTTTCGTGGGGCACTCTTAAGGGACACTCTTGCAGGACACTCTTGTGGGACACTCTTGTAGGAAGGTCTTGTGGGACACTCTTGTGGGTCACTCTTGTAGGAAGCTCTTGCGGGGCACTCTTTTGGGGCACTCTTGATACCACAAATCATCCCGCTCGCCAGCGACACGCCGCGTTTACGCCAGCCTGTTTCGCGCTCTCCAGTGGCACGGCGCCACGCAAACGCACTTTCCACATCCCCCTTCTGGAAGGTCTCTGGGGTGAGGGATTTCATTTTATAAGGAACAATCATTTATAAAATGGAGTCTCTCAGGCTGCTGCTTTATAAAATAAGAACCCGACCTTTTTATATAATGGTGAGTTGTGTTCGGAGAGCCAAAAAAATAAAATTTCAGAGGCGCCTTTTGTCTCTTTATGGAATGGCTTTCCATGTGCCAGTTATCATTTTGATACGAAAATGGCCCATGTTTATGGAATGCTCAACCAGGTTCGGCTTCATCCTCTCAGGATCTCTTGCGACAGACTCAAAAGTCCTCTGTGCGGACAAGTCTGCGATTCTAACTTTCTATGTAAATTTGCGACCTCTGCCAGGACCTCTGCTGGATCTTTCGATTACTTGAGTGATTCTC